CATGTGCTTAAGGTCGGCAGCTGACCCACGTGAAAGTAAGGGGCTAAGCAACCGGCCCGGCCCCGCCCTGCCCACCCCTCTTTCCTCCCGAGTTCCAACAAAAATAAAATAAACCTTCGTCTTCTTACCTCCTTACATTGTGCCCCCATAGTGAAATTAATTCTCTTACTATTTTTGTATTTCACCTTTTAAATATATCATATATTCTTAAGTTTATTATTGATTATTCTTTTTATTTAGTCATTTTATTTAAAATAAATCATATGGAAATAAACTATGTCTTACTTTACTTAACTAATTATTATATCTCAAAGTTGCAAAAAAAAAAAAAAAAAAAAAAAAAAAAAAAAAAAAAAGTCCATACTTTTCTAGTACAAAATTTTTATAAATATTTTATAGTATTGATAAAACAACAATTTTATATATATTTATTAAATACTAAAATTTTATGGTGCCCCTTTCACACTAATTCTAGGCCTGCCTCTTCTCAAGGAGTGCATCCCTCCATTGATGAACCAAAATTCATTGCACAGAGATCCAGAACTGTTTAAGAACAACTTACATATTTCTGTGGTGATACTACCCAATCAAATATAGCCATGTGTGTTTTAATAAGTCTAATTTGTTTAAACTTAAATTACTATTCTCTCTTTAATTAGTTAAACAAAATATATTATTACCATCTCCACCGCCAATCGCCTATCTTATGATTTTATAATATATTTTGTTTAATTAGTTAAACAAAATATATTATTTGTCCTTCACTTTCTTTTTTAATATATTTAACCACTAATTTGTTTATTTGTTGAAAGTTATTGCTATATAATCACCTATCTTATGATTCTGATTCAGGTGGCTGGTGGTCATGAAATTGCATGGTCATCATCTTCTATTTCAATTTTTTTAGTATTTATATTCTAATTTGTTGAATATTACTATAAAGAGTACTACTGTATAATCAAATTTTATGTCACAATTTTATTTCGCAAGTCATGACAAGAGCAACATTTATGGTGAGCGATGTGCTTCGAAAAGGGGAGTGCAAGTGGCGCACAAATCGGTCGGAAGTTGGAGCTATTAAGAACTCAGTATGAATTAAAAACCAATTTACATGTTAGAACTCATTGCAGTCTAACAAGTTTTTTGTGTAAAGTCATTAATAGTTCTGTTAATTTTACATTACAATAGCAAAAGTGGGCGTTAGAAGCTGTTAGCTTAGCTTACTCACTAAGCTTGCTTACATTAATTCAATAAATTAATGAATGAATCTCTCACATACGATAGCAGATGAATTGTATGGACATCTTCCAGGAAAAAGAGATGAGCTTGTGCATCAACGCTTTAATTTATTTGGAATTAAAATATTTAAATATAAATCAAGAGAGTTATCCCCATTTCCAAACATTGTTCCAACTTCCAATATCATTTAATTTGTTATTTTATAACTCCAACCTTGATACACTATATCTACTCAATAATAAAACCCTAAAATCTATGAAATCCTCTTTAATTCCCTCCTTGTCCTTCATTATCATTATAGTTTTTTTTTAAATACAGTTAAACACATGTAGGGGTAGTCCAAGTGTGAAAGAGAGAAAGTTAATTACAATAATTTCCTTAATTAAATCTTAACTGAAGTTAAAGTTAAGTTTGTTTATAGATTTGCACACTCTTAATCAAGGAATGAGAAAAAATGTATGAACTCTCTAAGAAATTACATGGGAAAACTGGTTGTCAAGCTCAAAAGGCCAACAAAGGTACATGAGATTATAGAGAAGAGAAATCAATTAAAGATGGTCTTTTAATAGTTGTGTGAAAGAAACAACTCAGCTTAAAGTAGGATTGGTTGGGAAGTTTAATTTCGCTAAATCTGAATAAAAAGGACTATAAAGTGAGTCCAATCATGTACTGTTTAATAAAATAGGAAAAGCCGAGGCAACTTGCGGGAAAAAACAAGTAGAAATAAAGGATAATAATTATCACACGGTTCCGTTGATCACAAGCGTGGCATAAATAAAATCGTTGGAGAGCGTGAAAAGTAAAGTAATCGGAAGTTGTGAAACTTCAAAGAATGTTTAATTATTATATTTTGATATAATATTTAAAAATTTATTATAACAAAAAAATTAAAATAATACTAAAAAGGCATAATGCAAAGGATTTGTCAAAATTGGAGCTATATAAAATTAATCAGGGTATATATATATATATATAAAATTGGCCGTCGCTGATGGCCAAAGATGGCCTTTTCCAGCCGTCANTTTGAGCCCTCCAAAACCTTTCAAATGATTGAATCTTAATTAAATTTATTCTTATATCCATTTTAATTTTTGAAAAAAAATTAAAACTAAAATATAGAAAGAGTTTAAGTAGAAGTTTAAATAACACTGTTCAACGGAAAGTTAAAATTGGTATATCAAATAATAAGAGCCCATTAACCCATTAGTTATTGAAGTTGGTCCATCAGACAAAAAGAGTCCATTGGCCCATTAGCTTAAACCCGTTTGAGACCATCATTGGAGAGAAAGAAAGAGAAAAGAGAGAGAAAGGAAAGACAGTCCATCCATGTTTTAAAACCCAACCTAAGGTGAAACTCGACAAAGTGGTTGGGTCTTGGGTCAATCGGTTTAACTAATTTGACCGGTAGGTCAAATCAGTGTCTAAAGTTTGAAATCTAACAAAAATACCCCTAAAAATTCTGTAAGTCCATACAAATTTAAAATCTTGCAATAACACCCCAAACACCACCATCGGCATTGGCAAATAGAGCCTATTTTTGGTGATGACAACACTCCCCATCACCACAAAAACACTCCCCTCACCTTCTTACCAGAACTCATCTCACCGTTCCCCTGTTCGCCCCCCTAATCGTCGATAACAATGGGCTTCTTCTAGCGACATAGTTATGCGATTTCTAGTCGATTCACTCATCGAAAATCATCGCCATTACCACCATTGCACTCACTGTCCATTCCTCTTCAAAAACCCTAACATTATAGCTTTCAATTATTCATGGATTGATGTCCTAATTTTTAGGGTTTTTAATTAGTAGGAAAATTTGTAACCCTACTTGGTAAAGGCCTCAGGTCCCGGTTGAACTGGCTCAACCGACTAGGTTGGGCTAGGTTTTAAAACACTGATTGGATCTTCCAGGAAAAAAACAAGAGTTGAAATGTGGAAAATCTAATGCANATATGAATGTTTAATGTATTGTTAGTAGTGGTCAATGGATATGTATGAATGTTTAATTTTTATTTAGATATATATTGTTTATATTTACAATTTAATTTGGGAAAAAATTAAAAAAATAAGTTTTATAATAAAAAGGGAAAACCGGTTAACCAAAAAACCGGTTTTCCATCCAATCCGATTCGATTCAAAAAAGTGATTAACCGATTCGGTTAACCACTTTTGAACACCCCTAACAAAAATAAGAATATGTTGTTGCGCTGACCGCAGTAAATGGACCTGTGGTAAGGGCAAGTCAACTTAGTACGGTTCATGCTATGTATATACACACACCATTGATAGTCGCGGGAAGCGTCACTGAGAACTCAGATTTGGGCCAACCACAGCTGCAAGCACATGGAAGCCATTTTCTGCCCACCACCGCAAGATCATATAGCATTGGATTCATTATTATTAAACTGAAATGATGTTTTGCAAATGAATCTAGTGGTATTTAAGCTTAATTCTCATAAAATTTATATAAGAACACACACACACACACACACACACACACACACACACACACACACACACACATATATGTTAGTGTTTTTGTCATCTTATGATCCATTGTGCACACACTTCTAAAGGTAATCACCTTCACAAGTGTGAACACCTTTGCCTATGAGTGTTCACATCGTTTTTGGCAAATATTTTTTTTCAAATCACACATCACGTATTTGTTTGTCTTCTGGATATAATTATTCCTTGATTGATTCTCTGACTTATTCTTTACACTTGTCTCCTGTTTATTTGCTGAATAAGAAAAGAAATATTTCTCGTCTGTGGTCCCAAAATGTCTTGTGCAAAAAGAAAGACATAAAAGTTAATGTTTAACTTTTTTGTCCCCTATCCTTTAACTTGTTGATCTTTTATATTCTCCCGTTTTATATTGTTTGATAAGAAACCATATTACATTGTTCTGCCTCTTTGAATATTCTCCGAGACTCTTGTTTTTGTTAAGATTTCTTCTATGCTTTGGTAGGTTTTAAATTACCCTCATCACTTATCCTTGTGTGAGATCTTAGGTTGTTGTTTTCCCCTGTGAGAAGAGCTTGAGTGTAAGCTACTGTCCTGTCTTCATTGTTGAACCCTAAGAGGAACTATTCTTCAACATGACGATGGCTATGCATGTGAAGCTTGCTGTGATGGCTTGAAGTTCAACCAAAGAAGACTTAATCGTTGTGTAAAAAATATAGAGTGTTTTACTACTGTGGTTATCTTGCTTTGTACGTATTTGAACTCATAAGTATTTCATAATGAATTGCTTCCTCTGATGTGGTCCCATAGATGTAGGCTTGATGTTGAACTATGTAAAAATGAGTGTGTTCTTTACTTATTTTTATGTATGTTTTAATTCAGTTATTCTCAACTCATTTGCATTAAATTGAACAAGTAACTCATTTAACATAAGTTTTCATCACTTGATAACCCCTTTAAAACTTCCAATTGGTATCAGAGTGGGTTCTAAAAAATTATTTCAGTTAGTCCTTGCTTGTTTGTAAATTCCTTTCTCATGTCTGGTTGAATAGATCAATTCGTTTTTGTTCTGTGTGATCACCTCCTTTTGTGTGACCATATTTTTTGTTATTATTATTTATTAAACAAAAGTATCACGTCTTAGAACCTTAGGACCTACTAAATTTTCACCAAAACTGGGAGACTAAAATGTTAGTTAACACATCATAACACGTGATGCACACGTGACATGGTCAGGTGATAAGCTCCTGCCGCTTAAAGCCTCTCTTCGTTAGAATTAGTGAGGTGGAATCTCAAGTTTTTACTCTAATAGAACTGCTCTCGTGTGTGTCGTTCAGGAGCTAGATAGAAGGCATTGAAGAGCGCGGGAAATGGGGTTTAGACACTGTTGTTTCGCGCCAAATATTTGTTGTTGTTGATCGCATTATCAAATCCTAATTCTTCACATGCGCAATCTGTGAGAAAGAGCCAGAGTGAAGGAGAAGACTTGGTATGTAAAATCCCATTATCTACTGTTATTGCCTTTGATCGATTAATTCTTTATTTAATTTGTTGTTTTTTATTGATTTTTTGTTGTTGATGTTGAATCCGCACTGTCTAATTCTTAGTTTTTAGTAAATAATTTCACTGAATCCGACCCATTTTTTGAAATCCACATAGATAAATCAGTGAATGAATATGGTAGTTGCATGAATAGGCCTCGTAAAATCAATTGCTAGCGAGGAACTGTACTAGGGATCAATACTTTTATGTAAAAATCACACTTGAAGTCAAGCAGATGATAAGGATCATAATAGTTTTAGAGTTTTTCAAATCCTGACTGGCCGGTCAATTTATTAGCAGATGTTAAATAAACTCAGTTTTGTCTTAAAAATGATGATTCAATAGATTTTCGGATTTATTTCATATTGTGATGGGATTTGAATATTTCAATCAACTAGTAATGTTTTTGCTGTGTGAATTCTCTTTATGAATCTGTCCAATATTCATAAGAATATGATTAGCCAACTAATCATATTATAAAATAAAATAATAGGATTATGGCAAATTGAATTTTCGAAGAAAGATCAAGTAACCGCCAGATGATAGAGACAATATGAATTGTGATGGGCTGGAACATGGATGCAAGGTGGGTGGAGGAGGGAGTGGCAAATTGAATCTTTAAAGAAGATCAGTTAATGATAAGGATCAATTGTATGAATAGTTTAAGTAAAATATTTAAGTGACTCTCACCTAACCCTTACGAATTATGATTGAGAGTATTTAAAGTTTTAGGCCGGCCATGTTTTGTTGATACAAACAAAAATGAAAACATTAAAACAGAAGAAGGCAAGGCAACTTGTAGGAAAAAAAAATGAAAATAGCAATCAAATAGTGGAATATAAAGTCAATTACTCAATTTGAATAGTGATTACAGTATCATGTCCTTTGAATTGTTTACACTCAGTTTGAATAGTGAGGGGTACGTTCAGTTTTTTGTTGTGCATCCAAGGAGGAAAGACATACAATTCCGTGAGATGAAAAAGTGCGGAGTCAAGTTGTTGTACGCCAAAGATAATGATTTGAGAAGAGATGCAAGAGTGGACAGAGACCAGAGATTGAATGCTATGAATTGCTCTCTTGATGGCTGTTTGAGCTGCAGTCTTGGTTTCTGCCCGAGACATAGAAAAATAGATGATTACAAGAGATTAAGTGAAACGTTTGATAGATGTTCCCCACATTCAGAATTATACAAGCAACAAGTGGCAATCCCCTAGTAAGTTGCATCAAATTAAATGTCAAAAAAAAAATAAAAAAAAAATAGAAGAAACCTTATTACATATATATTTTCTCAAGCCTTGTTTTATATGGACTTTTTATGCCTTAACATGTATGCTGATAACTAGTAAGAATCATTCTCATAGTTATGCATTCTTTCTTCTGCAATTAGGTAAGCGGACTCAAACATTGAATTTAATTTATTTATTTTATGAAATCATTACTTGTTAAATCTTCTATTCAACTCTTTTTAGTAGTGTTGGATACTTCTCTTACTCTATTAAACCTAGTTATCTGCAGCTATGTATTGCTCTTTGCCATGCATTTTTAGTTTTAATTCATGTTTGGTAAATATAATTAGGAGTGAGACTCATTACGTTCCCTAGATAATAGTTGCTTATGTTTATTCCTAAATTATTTCCATGTGGGTTCTAATATGATTTATAGGTGAAGCATTAAACATGTCCTATATTTTTAGATTGGTTTATAACCCATGTAAATCTTCCAATTGTTATTAATAATTAAGAACAGAATTGGGAGGCATAATTAATAAATCTCACATGATTATGACTTTTTATTTTTTAAAAATGATTATACAATGAACTCAAGTCATAATGCATGGAAAATGATCTTGCATTATTTATTCACATGTAGAAATAACATAGGAATATGTTTTTATTTATATTATTGATGTAAATTTTTATTGTATTTTACAGTACATTTCATAGGATTTGCACTGAGTGAAACTTGGAGGTTGAAATCTTCTTACAGAAAAGGTGATCTAAGTCCAAACGCATCAGCTTATTATAGTATGTTGGAACAAGTTGATAGGATTCCCTGTTATGTCCTTATGTCTCTCCAGTGGTAGAATGATGGCTGATGGTTGTGCAAATTCAGCACAGAGGAAACCCTCCAGATGAAATGTACTCCATCATTTCTAGGGTTTCTTGTTTCAGGATATGCTAAATCTTTGAACTTATAGTTGTGGTAGTGTCCTGCATTATAGTTTTTAATGGTTTCTGGATAAGGCTTACTTTATGTTGCCCTCTGAAGCTACTAAGCGCGCTGGCTTTCAGCAATTTATATTCATGCCCTATGCTCTGCAGTTCTTTATTCCAGACTTATTGAGGTGGCCCTTTTTCATGCTATTCAGTTTGCTTTCAGGCTTGGCTTGACTCTGGCACGTGCGCAAATGATTTGGCTGGTAACTTGGGGCGTGGACACATACATTCGGATGGCTGTCATTTTGTAATTATTTTCTGGATTTTCTTCCTTGGAATCTGGTTGTTATGGCAGAATACAATTTAATTAGATATGTTAGATGAATGCTATAGCTTACTGCCGGATGCTTTATCTGTTGTACTTCAACGTGGTGAAACTGATATTATTTGGTTGTTCTCTTCTATTAGAAACACTGCAGATTTATTCTGGGGTTTTTCTGATGCTTTTGCCTTCTGAGGCTGCTTTTGTTTCTTGTGGTGTGTTTGCTTAATTGATTATCACAAACAGTTGATCCTACTCGGAATGAAGTTAAGAAAAATTGAGAGATTAAGAGTTCTTCTCTTAAGAGGAGAGTTAATTATACCTCAGAGTTTCTCAAACAAGACTGCAGCTTCGTTCCTACCAGTTACTAATTTTACCCCCATCATGAGGCCCTCCCTCTCACATCTCCAATGACTGAAACAAGATTTCATCAATGTGAGAAAAACTGTTTAATAAAATCGCCACTCTGAAGCATAAGCCAAAGCTGTGCAATTAAGAAACGAGAAAGTTGATTATAATAATCTAATTATAATATATTAGATCGGGCTAGATCATGATAAACTCATTAGTCTATTTGATGAGGGAGAGGTGAGTGACACTTTTAATCCAGAATTTTTAGAATAGTGAAATTTACCTCCGTGAAACTAATGAAGTGTTTGTCTAAGTTTATAACTCTAAAATTAAACTGATTTATTTGTTTATAACTTTTTTGAGCTTATAAGCAGAAAAAAAAAAAAAATCCCAATTTATTATTATTATTATTATTATTTTTGCTTATAAGTACTTTGCTTATAAGCTAGTTTTATCAAGTATATTACCACATTATCCTTGTTTAATTTTAAAATTTCATAGTATATCCTTATTTAATGTAGTACTATTTTTAGTCATTTTATAATAAAATATACTCATAAGTCAAATTTTACCAAACATGTCAACTACTTATCAGTCACTTATAAGTACTTTAACCAAACAAACACGTAATTGCTTAAAATTTCAAATGCATTTTAGCTTATAAACATTAATTTTCATAAGCTCAGACAAACACATTTGTTACTAAAACGTGTTGAAATCATGTCAAAAAGACAAAAACACCCTTAAATATCTTTTTTTTTTTACCCCTATTATCATTACAATGAAACAACAATAAATTAAAAGATTAAAAGATTAATTGCCAACTTTTACCCTTCATTGGGGTATTGGATTAAAAAATTATTAGTTCATTTCTCTTTCCATATTTTATTTGTTACTAAACCAGAATTTTTCTGATCAAATTAAGATTTTTAACACAATATTGTAAACAAAAATTAATAATCACATATTTAAAACAAGCTCTTTAAGACAACACAAAATAAATGGTAATTTAAAAAGGTTTTATCAGTTTTAGAAGTGATCTATTTCGTATTTATCATTTCATTCTTTGTATTTTCAGATAAATATACCAAACTTATTTTCATTTTTGCATTTTCAAATAGATTCTTTAAGTTCGAAAACTTTATCGTGGATACACCTTCGCTCTAAATCTGTTATGTTGACATTTGTGAAAAATGAGTAAAAAGGTTACTTAGACCTTATAAGAAAGTGTTAGGATTAAATGGTAACTTTGTTTTTATATAAAATAAAATAAAAATATCTTTGTAAACCTGACAACAATATAGCAGAATTAAGACAAATGGGTACCTATCATAAAAAATTTTTAACTTCGATGATCCATTAGATAACGCAATAGAGTATCATTGATACATTTTTTAAACATTGAGTGTTCATTTGATTAAAAATATTATTTTCAAACTGAAATTAGTAGAAAATTGTGAGAACGACTTTGAATTATTTTATTATTTTATATTCATTTTAAGGGTTATATCCTAAAACCTTTTTCGAAAATATCTTGATTTATTTTTACCACACATTTTCATAAGATTTTTGTATTTCTTGTTTAAAAAAATGTACATAAATTCTATATCAAATAAGTGAATAACCATAAAAAATTATGGTGCTCAGTGCTCACGGTCGGCTGTGGCATACTGGCATGCCAGCGGTCCGTTTTAGAAAGAAAAAATGCAAAAGCAGCAAAATAAATAAATATATATTATTGGTGAGCGTGAAGGAAAAAGTAAATGACAAAACACATTTGTTTAAGTGAATAAGGAAGGGAGAACGACATTTTCCCACTTTGATGAAATGACACTTTCTCATCAGTCGTTAGGTTCTATTAGTGTTTTCAGTTAATATTTGATCAAAAAGATGAAAATACTCTTAAATAGTTTATTTCTTGATTAGTTTATTATAAATTAAAATTAGTTAATTCAAAGTCTTTATTCGATTATTTATTAGTCAAAGTATAAAGATACATTTTTTTCTTTATTTATTTAATTAATTAGGAATATTGATTTTTTATGTTAATTAGTAAAAATAAAAAACATTATAAATAATAGTGATGTGATATTGATGACATTATAAATAAATGTTAAGATTATTTAACTTTAAACAATTTTATAACATTACTCATAACTTTTAAGGTGAGGTTAACTATTTTTTCTTTTTTGAATTTTTAATATTTAACTTTTTGGCTAATTAAAAAATAATAAAAAATTTATAAAGTAAAATATTTCAGGGTATTTTCATCTTTTTAGTAAAATATTAACGGAAAATATAATAGAACCTAATAAAGGGTTAGAAAGTGTCATTTTGAAACTTAATGGGCGAGAAAGGTCATTTCGTCAAACCTTGGGTGGGAACATGTCGTTCTCCCAATAAAGAAACAATATATTATTGGCGAGAGTGAGAGGAAAGAATAAATGAAAGCTAAAGAGACTCCATTGAAGATTCCATGCTGACGTTTAACATGTTATGCCATTAGTAAAGCAAAATAAATGAGCATATAGATGCTTGTAAAAAAGGGAAGAAAAGAAACTTTATTTCATTAGTTTAGTGAACATTCCAAGTCTCTCTTTGATCTCCTTAATCTTCAAGAGAGAAGACAAATAGACATGGGAAATTGTCAGGGTAAACAATCATCAAGATCTAGAAAACATATAACCATTCATGACCGTGCTCAATCGGGTGATATTAATGGGTTTCAGAAGCTACTTCAAAAGGATCCATCTCTTATCAACGAAAGAAATGCAATTGTAAGGTTATTTTTTTCTTTTAGTATTATTTTTTTTATTAATGAACATATATCCACTTNAGTGCTGCACCAAATTGTAGCGTTATTAATTTTTTTTAATTTTTTTCTTTTTTTAAATTTTGTTAAGTTAATTTGAGTATTAAATTTTATACAAAAAATCACGCCAAATTTGATTATTTGTATTTAATTTAATTTGATTATTATTTGAGTATTAAATTTTATACAAAAAATCACACCAAATTTGATTATTTGTATTTAATTTAATTTGATTATTATTTATAATAATAAATTCATAATAATGATATAATTCAAAAAATAATGAAAAATTAAAAATAAAACTTTATTCAGTGCTAATATTAAACTACAATAACTCAAAATAAAAATTAACACAAATTTAAAAATATTAAATCTAAAAAGTTTGAATAGACAATACATCTTTTTGAGCTTGAATGAATAATATTTTTTTTGAAATAAGCTATAAATTTAAAAAGCTTGAATAGACAATACATCTTTTTGAATTAGCCACAAATCTAAAAAACTTGAAGGACAATGTCCGATTTCAAAATTTTTTTGTTCGACATAAACAAATCAAGGATACAGAGGCTCATCATGCTTTTCGAAATGCATTAATTGATTATTTGTGGGAAGAACGTACTAATTCGGAAAATTAAATTACTATCAATATAGAATTTTACTTTTGTGTTATTGTTGTTTATTATTTTATATTAGATGTAATGTTTTTCTATATTAAATGTAATGTTTATTTGATTAAATAAATAATTAATTTTATTAAATTGGTATAATTTTTAAAATAATTATTATTTAATAAAAATATCATTCACAATATTTAATTAATATATACAAAATTAATGAGTGAAATAAATTAATTGTTGATTATTATAATAAAAGAAAAAGAAAAAGAATATTCTATGAAATATTCTTTTTGGTATAATATTTGGTGTAGTGAATTAGAGATAGAATAGTATTTTACACCAAAATTTGCACCAATTTGGTGCAATAGGTTGGAAATCGGCTAAACATTGAGTGTTCATTTGATTAAAAATATTATTTTCAAACTAAAATTAGTAGAAAATTGTGAAAACGACTTTGAATTATTTTATTATTTTATATTCATTTTAAGGATTATATCCTAAAACCTTTTTCGAAAATATCTTGATTTATTTTTACCACACATTTTCATAAGATTTTTGTATTTCTTGTTTAAAAAAATGTACATAAATTCTATATCAAATAAGTGAATAACCATAAAAAATTATGGTGCTCAGTGCTCACGGTCGGCTGTGGCATACTGGCATGCCAGCGGTCCGTTTTAGAAAGAAAAAATGCAAAAGCAGCAAAATAAATAAATATATATTATTGGTGAGCGTGAAGGAAAAAGTAAATGACAAAACACATTTGTTTAAGTGAATAAGGAAGGGAGAACGACATTTTCCCACTTTGATGAAATGACACTTTCTCATCAGTCGTTAGGTTCTATTAGTGTTTTCAGTTAATATTTGATCAAAAAGATGAAAATACTCTTAAATAGTTTATTTCTTGATTAGTTTATTATAAATTAAAATTAGTTAATTCAAAGTCTTTATTCGATTATTTATTAGTCAAAGTATAAAGATACATTTTTTTCTTTATTTATTTAATTAATTAGGAATATTGATTTTTTATGTTAATTAGTAAAAATAAAAAACATTATAAATAATAGTGATGTGATATTGATGACATTATAAATAAATGTTAAGATTATTTAACTTTAAACAATTTTATAACATTACTCATAACTTTTAAGGTGAGGTTAACTATTTTTTCTTTTTTGAATTTTTAATATTTAACTTTTTGGCTAATTAAAAAATAATAAAAAATTTATAAAGTAAAATATTTCAGGGTATTTTCATCTTTTTAGTAAAATATTAACGGAAAATATAATAGAACCTAATAAAGGGTTAGAAAGTGTCATTTTGAAACTTAATGGGCGAGAAAGGTCATTTCGTCAAACCTTGGGTGGGAACATGTCGTTCTC